GACTAGGCTGGTAAAAATATATTGGTAGGAGCATGGTCGCAGCGTGAATTGATGTTGCGCATGCCGTGAGATTTACACGCTTTGTTAACCCTATGTTCTATCAGTTCTACTTCCAATACTACTGTATTACCCGTCTAAAAGAATCATACTCCAACACTTGGGATCATAGAAAATTGAGCTTTGAAACTAGCCTGCGCTTCTTCGATGGAGAAAACCAAAAAAAGCTAAAATTCAATCCTATATGGGTTCGAAGAGCAGCAGCCATTTCTTTAAAGCTTGGGCGCGTCAAGATGGTGAAGAGAAGTGATGTTTCATTGTACTTCTTGAGTCATAGACTTTCTTGCACATTGGGCTCCTCTCTGGCCCAGGCCACAACTTGTACATTACTCCTATTCTCTTTTGTTACTTCAAAGATCATTGATACATTGCCCGCGGTGAATAGCCATTCAGCTCAGTATTTACCCGTGGAATTTGGCCAACTTTCCTATTGAATCTTCTACCTAAAAAAATTGGTAACAATTAAAACTGCGTGCGCGGGAAATAGTCTCAAAATAACCCTGCAGCCCCAGCCAGGCGAGGCCTATATACCGAGACCTCATGAGGTGCGTATGTTCGTCCAAATCTCCCTTCTTTGTAACAGTCGAGGCCGACTTGATCCAATCCACCATCTCTGTATCGGGTGCTGGTTACGCTCCGGAAACTCATCGCATGGCATATCTAAGATAATGGTGGTAAGGGATTGTGCACGTCACGGTTCGAGTGTCGATGCTGGAGCAATCAGGTATATGAAGGTAGTGTATAATTTTCTCTCTGGCTAATTATCAGAGTATTACTTCAATTATTTATACACTTATGAAGATCTCTAGAATACTAGTTATTGGCTAATATCTGCTTATCGCATATTCCAGTCATAGTAGTTCCCAGTCTTGCCACCAATTACTAGAATATTCCAGATACAGCTGAACGGATCTGGAATAAAGCTAGACTACTGTAGAACTGTAGAAGCACGTGAATACAATCACTTGCCACACAACTATTTTTTTTTTAATCATTTAATGTGTATTCAGCTATAAAGCTATGACACATGACCGGTGCTATGTATACATATTGGATGGCTCTTTTGACGTTAGAGACACTCATACTCTGGATTTCATTTGCAAATACCACTATGAGGTATGCTTGCTTACACAAACAGTCGACCCTCCTCCCTAAGTACCCACCAAAGGGAATTTCAAAACCTTTGGTTATCCAAGCATGCCTTCGTCGTCCATGCATACCAGCGCCGCGAGGAATGTGGTTGTGTTTTGCCGGATTTGAACCAGCGATCTACTGTCTCGAGTGGGATATGTGTCCAAGCTATCCAGACTCTACTTGGCAGACCGGCCAAGACGATGTACCACCGCACCATCCAACCATAGCAGTTTTTATAGTGTCGCCTGCACTCTCGCAGCCGAAGACTTGGCACGCACAAAGCTCAATTTGTAAAAACTCCTTGCCAAAATTCAAAATTCCACGCCCGTTGGGGCTGTATCCATTCTTCGCATCATCTTGTGAACTTGTCCTGAATCCTCTCATACCAATCTCAAAGAACAGTCTCCCATATTTGTGCGCCACGCTTTGCTCCCTCCTTCGGGTGTAAATATCGGCGTGGGCGTGTATTTGGTAACCGGCTGAGGCCAGAGAAGGTCGAAGAGTGGTGTGGTCATTGGAATGAGGATGTACTAGGTCGTACTTGTAAACTTGATGAGGCTTAGGTAGGATTCGATCTTTTTTGGAATGAAAATTTGACGTGGTGGAGTTATTTGAATCATTGCCTCGTGGGCCAACTTGTTCGGTATTGCGAAATTTGACTGAACTTGGCTCTGGGAGAATATTTCACTCCCAGGTTCGTAGAGGATACCGCGTACAGGTGTTCAGTCTTGCCCTCCGGCTCACAAGTCGTTACAGTGCAGAGAGATAAGACGATACAGACGGCGAAAGCGATTGGGAATCTTCATCGAAGCTAGGACTTTATTAGTCAATATCGGTTCTATAGACTCTACAGTGAGGGCTGTAGGCTCGTAGGGGACACCACTGACAGGTGTTGAGAATAGTCCTCCCCAAGATGGCGAAATGCTGGCCTTTTCCACAAAAGATCATATCCTATAATAGTAGGACTCTCTATCTTTTCGAATTAGTAAATAGTAACCAGTCGCAGTTTGAATAAGAATCTTTTTCTGTTCTCGAGTTAGATTAATTAATCTACCAAAGTCACACTCTTAAAGTTAGGATACACAGAGGATTCTACCTCGTACTTTTTTCTTGTTCAGTGCGACAATATCGGCACAGTGATCCCTCCCTTCCACCTACAAGAGACATATATGCATGGTGTGGTTCAATCCCAGTCATGCCAGCCCCACAGTCTGTGTCTGTAAGTAGTAGTTGGTAGATCTTTCCTCCAAAGACATTAGCGTTCTTTTCTTGAGATTTTCGGATCTTGACGCCCTTGTAGTAGCAAAATTCTTATCGAACATGGCATCTCAGTATTTTCGAATCTTAACTCAAAGGGACCAATGTGAAGGGAAGAGTTGACAACAAGATCGAGCTACTGCTCATACCAACCAATCAGTACTACAGCCCGATAATTCTGATGTGAAATACAAAGACTCACGCATATATATATATTTTTCATTTTTCCTGATTTGGCGCCTTGAGGCCCATGCAGGTTTTATCGGAAGATATGTACTTAAGTAGGATGATTCAATTTAACATTTAGAACACTCACACTCAGATTTCATTTGCAGATACCACTCTAGGTTAACCCTTACGGCGTATAACCTCTTCCGTGCATACCCACCACAGGGAAAAGCATGAAAAACCTGTGGCTATCCAAGTGTGCTTTCATCATCCCACAAGTACAACACCACCGCGAGAGAGAGTGTTGTGTGGGTCTGGCTGGATTCGAACCAGCTTTCTCCTGTCTCGAATGGGGTAGGTGTTCAAGCTACCCAGTATCTACTTGGGAGAACGGCCCGGATGGTGTACCACTGCACCATCCAACCCGACTCACGCATGTACCTCCCGGCTCAAGCTGTGGCAATCTCACTGGGGTGTTTAGGTTGTGAAAAAGATCAGACATAGTACTTGTCGAGGGGAACGGGACTAAGGATTAAAGAATGTGATCTAAGGCGCGTACTCGGGTTCAGTGTAGGGCAGTATAATGTAGTAAATTTGAATGAGGATTATTGTAACCAGAATCAATTTCGATAGTTTTAGTCGTTAATATGGTAATTTAAATACAACCGACAGAGAATCAGGACAGCTTCAGCACAAAAGCCAGATTATTCTCAATATTAAACTTTCTGCCTGTGAAAATTAGATTTGTGTAAGAAATTAAGAGACTTTTCACAGGTGTACCATAATTGCCGCTGATGGTGCTTTGCCAACGTCCATTCTAAACATGTTCCAGCGGTTAAAAATAGAATTAAATCTGATTACCGAGACATTGTTTATTTATTTATTTTAGTTTTAAGTCACAGGCCGTAACCTTCAGTCTATTTAGATGTAGGACCGGTGGAGCCGGCCGAGATTTAACCTTTAGGCTTGCCCTACTCGTTCACACCCATTTTAGAGCTAATAAATCATGCGCTCGTTAAATAAATAATGTAGTGAAGAAAAAGAAAAGAAATAAACAAAAGAAATAGTCAATGGCTTTGAGGCAGCAATCCTCATCCTGAGCTCTCTTCCGCCAGCGTATTTGCCCTGGCATTCATCCTAAAACCCGTCCTTGCATACAGCCCAGAACTAGGATGCGGCGAGACATTGTTTACTCATGTGGTTGAACATTTTCAGTTCCTCCATTGTCAAGCGAGGCGCTAGTGGTGCGTTAGTGTTATGGCTGGGGTATTGCTAGGTCTGCGACACGGACGCGCGCACCAGAAATGGTAGGGACCATGCCTGGAACGTAGGCTCGTTGCCAGCCCGACCCAACTTTACACTTATCCAACACTCCGATAAAGACTCCTTACATCATCCACTAGGCAACCACAATCTGTCTCCGGAGTAGGATATCTGAACGAAAGCACCAAATTATTCGTGCTACCTTGCTTCATCATAATCATCATCAACTGTATCTAGCGCTCTTCAAACGATTTAACTGGATGAGATGGTGTGAAAAGTGGCCAGGATACACTCTCCAAAAATTTGATCCATGGTAAAAACTATGCCATTGAACGTAATTTGGTCTTTTCCGATTAATCACTTCACTCAGGCGGAACTTTGTATTCAGACCGCTGTAAGATTGTTAAAGGAGCAGATAGTTGTCTGCATTCAAGAGAACGACCATGCTTCGGAAGGAAAATCTGAAGAGGGCTCTCGGTAATGCTTCCGCATGCCAATATCCGATGTTTCTATGAGATAAGATCCTTGACAATCGTCACGCTTGTAGAAATAAAAAGTTATTTTGAAGATTCAAGTTAATTCAATTGACAACTATAGCTGAATGCAAGAAGTTCAAAAACTGGTCCTTTATAAGCTGGAGGATATCCATGATGTCTAGATTGGTCCTTTTGTGCTGGGTCAAGATGCCATCCATCATCTGCCTCGACCGCAGGGGTCACTAGCGCTATAGACCACGGCAAACCCGACCGTTCTGTCTCCCTCGCTTTAAGGGTCCTCGGCCAATTATCCCCCTCCGTCTAATTCCATCAAATTCATACTCGCCCTGCTCCTCCTAACACTCAAACTCGTTTGTTTTGCCCTCATGAAACGCCTCCATTCGCCCCTAAAGCGCGTTGTCGCGTCAGGCGCCCGGCTTTGAAAGTATTAACACAAATATATTGAGGGCATATCACTTAATTTTTCCATAACTCTCTTCCCATAAGCAGCGTCAACAATTCGGTCATCCAGTATTCCAATTAAAATCAGCAGAATACCAAGTCTGTTCGTCAACCAGTCAACCAGAGCAGTAGGGCTCGAAATTTATATCTTTTGCCGGGTCGCTCTTAAAGCCACATTTATTAAGTCTCCTGACATCATGGTATGAGCCCTCTATCTCGTTCGAATGTGTAACTTTGCCTGATTACAACACCCAGGTTCTATTCAAAAGAAAGCCCGTTCAGTATTTGTCTCCTCCCAAGGTTGAGAATGACGAAACAGAGGTTTATAGAGACTTCTAAACCATAGAAATGTATACTAGCTAAGTACATGGATAGGTCTGGGAAATAAAACAGACGGGAGAGATATTCATAGACTATAATAGTTACCTTGCTCGGTAGGAACAAACCTTGCCTGCCTTGTAATCACTTAGCTAAGTAGTCGCAGAATGGATTTTTACAAGCAGGTAAATTAGTTTCAATAATCATAGAAATCCCTTTTACGCTAATTTGAAAAAGCGGCGGTTTATTTGTCAAATCACTGGACACTCTGGATTGTCGTTTTTTGAGGCTCTAAAGAGTGAGGTGTGCACGCTTTGACAAGGCTGAGACTTTTTTTCCGTTCCAGATCAAGGCTGATAGTGTCGTAGCTTGCAGGTGCCCAGGTAGTCGAAGAAGCCTTTCCAGAAGCCCTTAAAGGCCCCATACTTCGGAGAGTTCAGTTGCAGACAATCTCCAGAATCGATACACTTGTCGACTTGATTTATGAAGAGTTCCGCGCTGATTACTATCCTGGAGAGGCCGTCACCGTTCATGTTATGACCGGAGAAAAATTAACTGGCATCGTCAGAGATAAATCGTCATTTGGTGCAAAGATACTGCCAGACGGTACAACAAACCCATCCTTCTCCAGATATTTTGTTAGCCTCGACGGCCGATCGGATGAGGAAGCAGTAGTAGATGACGCGCACATCTCCAGAGATCGTAAGATATTCACAAAACAGGTCTTGCGCTCTTTTATTAGGAAGACGGTATCGAGAGAAGCATGGAATGGTGCTCCATGGCTAGTTCGGAATGATGTTGCCAAACAGTATCATATAGATGTTCGAGTACCACCACACCTTTGCTATGAAAACAAATCAATGGAAAAAAAAAGCAAGAACAAAAATCTCAAAAACAGTTCAGGAAAGTTTGGAACATTAGATAACAACACAGAAAATTCTGGTCTCACTGATCCGCTAAACGAGTTTAAACCAAGAGCAAAATGCCAGAAATTAAACCAACAAAATGGCCACTTAGTTCCTAAAAGCAAAAAAGCAACAAAGACCCTTGTTTGTAGAACCTCAAAGGGGTCGCAACAGTCTCTGAATTTAGTACGAAAATTTTCTACAACTTCTTCGCCTCCTGAAGAGCCACAGAATACTAGAATTGCATCCACTGCAGTTCCTTGCGACTCGAATACATCAACATCACAGTCAAAAATGGCGCAGCCTATTGTAAAATACCCAATAGAAGACTTATGTTTACCTCCTCGTCTAGAAAGACCAACGAGACCTCCATTAAAATTCTTATCTGACGACTGTACAATAAGTGATACCAGTTCAAAGGAAAAAAATATAAAAATCTTAACGGAATCAGTCGGCCTTCTCCTCCAAACATGGGTCTTTTTGAACATTTATTGCGAGGTTTTAATATTAGACTCATTTACGTTCGATGACTTTCTCGAGGCTATGAAGTTCTCCTCACTAGATGAAGAGTGTCAACTACTAACTGAAATCCACTGTGCTGCCTTAAAGATGCTGGTAGCCTCAGAGATTGAAGGTGGAGATATCTTAGTTCCTCTCCCAGGAATGGGTAAAGATGGGGGAGAAAATGCTGATGAATCTATTTCTACTTCTACAAATGTTGAAGCAGAGCCTGAATTAAAAGTTCGGTCAACTCGAAGAACTTATCAAAAGATAGAAATACCTCCAGAAGGAAAAATTTCCCATCGAGCGGCTGAAATGCAGGCAGGTATCAACTGGATCGATAGGCTTCGGAAACGTGACTTTAAGTATGGGGGCTGGCAAATCATTGTCATAGGACTATTATTTCAGCTCTCAAAAAGCTCTCGCCATGCAGACATTTGCGAAACCTTGTTACAACAACTCGCGCCACTAGAACGAGACCCAACTCCTGAGACAGCCCGTCGACAGTACGCGTTACTAAACGTCAACCATCGTGCACAGCTCCTCGAGATCATTTGTACTTTTCTTGCGAACACTAAAGCAGCACGGGCATACATGGAGGAATGCAGCGAGCAGATGACGTGTTTTAGAAAAGAAAAAATACAATGGCAGCGAGATCGAAAGCAGTAGTAAGTTATAATTCTTCAAAAATTAACCGTGCTGACCATAAAAAGTCTCGAAGAACTTCGAATGCTCAGTGATGAGAGAAAACTCTTATCGCCTCTAGACTCGTCTCTATCTCCTTCATCCGGAATCAATACCATAAGTGTGATTGTTGAAAGTAAAGAGAACATTGGGTCTATCCCAGACGAAGTAGCAGATACTGAAGATGAATTAAAAGAAGTACGTTCACTTCGGAGCGGACAGGATCAAATAATGCAACGAAAAAGAAATCGTGAAGCTCAACGGGAGAAAAAGAAAAAAGCAGATCTAGACGCTTTACTTTCTAACAACGCCAAAAAGTCTGCAAAGTTGGCAAAAGACATCCAAAAAAAACAAGAGCTCATCACGAAATGTGAGAACGAAATTGCCACTCTAGACAACGACTTGCGGGAAGCAGACTGCCCCAGAGTTCGTATCTTAGGGAAAGATAGATTTTACAACCGTTATTACTGGTTCGAAAGAAATGGTATGCCTTATGGTGGCCTACCTACTAGCTCAACTGCACACGCCAAGTACGCGAACGGAAGATTATGGGTTCAAGGACCAGATGAAATAGAGCGCGAAGGATTTATTGACTTGGGGCCTGAGCTGCAAGGTAACTATAGGGACAAATATGGTATGACTGTTCTAGAACGTAAGAATCTTGAGGAAGGGCCCACCAGTGTTTACAACACTCATCAATGGGGCTACTACGAAGATCCGGACTCGCTTAATTCACTCATCACCTGGCTTGATACCCGAGGAATCAATGAGCTAAAATTACATAAAGAATTAAAGCTCTACCATGATCAAATATCCTACAACATGAAGAGACGTAGCGAATATCTCCAATTAGATAAATCCGAACGTTCTGATACTAATCGTATTATGACTCGTCGGATGGATCTCTCTGAATCATCCGCTAACCGACTATCAGCTTGGAAAAACAATATAGCGTACACAGAAATCGGCCACTTACACTCTGATGAGCCCCGATCTCGAAATTCGACGAGGAAATTAGCGCCTCATATTTCTACTTCTAGTACTGATTACTCTAATAAAAATGAGGTTAAAGGAAAGAACAAGAGAAATCTTGGTCGATAAGATCCAGTATGAAAAGCCTTGGCCATAATAAGTTAGGTACCTGAACCTAGTAGAAATTATCAAAAGTGGGAGTCCATTAAACTCAAATAATCTTCCGTCATGTCTTCCTGTTATTATTAATTGAGCGGTAGGATAAGCTGGCGTTAATTTTGATTGGATTCGGAAAAAGAAGTCGGTGTCAATGGAGTTTCACAAAACAGTAATACTTTTATCAGGCACATTTCTACGACGAGTGATTTGCCTAAAACAAATTATAATGTTCACTTTCATCCTTCACACCTTCATAACTTTTAAACCTTATGACCACATGAGAAAGTCTAAGTGTTTATATCGTAGATGCAAAATAAATATATCGGATTTCTAGGGATCATGGCATTGAGGCCTTCAGCACCATGAGCTATAGTCAGTGTAGAAGATATTGCGACAAATCACTTATATAAGTTGTTAACCCGATTTATGATACTTTCAGATTATTGTGTAGAGTCGTTTGCGATCCTGGTAGTTAATATAACAACTCTTTTTCTTTTAAAACCATTTAACGTGTATTCAGCCACCCAGCTATGACAAATAAATACTTGGCATACACGTAGGATAACCCTTTTGATTTAACTCTTACACTCTGGATTTCCATTACAAATACCTGTGTTCATTTTTTTTTTTTTTTTAAATTCATAGTGTATTCAGCTATTTAGCTATGACACATTTAAAATACATAGATCTAGCCTTCCCCTCCTTATAATTCACTACCCCTTCATTCCAAATTTAACATTTCCCAATTATTTGTCCTAATTTAACTCCCTTTATGTGCTGCCATGCACTTGGATGTATCCAAATATTGTAGTAGTGCCTCCTTCCCCCTTTTTGTCCGAAATAAGGTCGGAAGTGACCTTGGCTCTATGCCCTTGAAGCATTTGTTCCTTTGATCTTTGAATTTTGGACAGTGTAACAACAAGTGCTGCACATTCTGTCTTTTTTTACCACAAAAATTGCAAATATTATGGTGAACTTTTCCTATCATATGAAGGTAGACCCTTGTATTTCCGACTCCAAGTCTTGCCTGAAAGAATACAGATTCTGTTTCCCTGCTGTGTCCTTGGAATCTAAATAGTCTGAAAGAGAAATTGGGTTGGTTAGTCTGGGCCTGGAGCCTGTAATACTTGCCAAGTCCTTTGGCCTTTCGGCCCTCCTGTATTCATTGTATTGTCCTATCTGAGTCTATGACTATGTAGGTACAAATACCTGTAATTATTAAGGAAACAATGACCCCTCGGTTATTGATGTTGTAGAGCACATACATACAAGTGACTATCGATGTGAAACTAAGTGTAGAATTTGCGTTTACGTATGTATCGACATTTCGGCCTTGTTGATAGCCCCAATTATTCTAACTCCTAACGGTACTTTGTATTTTTGCCAACACAAAACAATAAACCCTCTTCCACGATTTCCCATAGAAGGAAATATTGAAATGTCTGATTCTCCTAGTAAGTTCTTAACACACAATTTGAGAAATGTGGTGGAGACTTGTCGGACTTGGAATAGTAATCTGGTGGTAGTGTTTAATGAATTCAGATGCCCTTGTAAGACAATAACTCGATAGAAATTATCATCTTCTTCCTTGAGAAGACAATCTACCACGTCGTCTCCTATCCTTTATCTCCTCGGCGTAGACTTGTCTTAGCTCCCCACCTTCGCCATCTGAGAATCATCCTTTCTCCCCGGCTCCTCTCTTCTCCGGTACTATACTCCCCATCTGGTACGTATCCCCCTCGTCTCATCCTGAGGCACCTCATAGATCCTTCCTTAAGCGATGTTCTGTTGGAGTTTAACTTCTAGACGGAGTGGTACTAGTGACCAGTCCCAATCCGGGCACAGCCCCTCACATCTGGTGCCTCTAGTGGGACAGACATAAAAACTATCTAGCCACTATAGTGTTTAAAGGGGGAGAGAGGTATGTTTATCGTAGTACTTGAGTCATAGACTATCTAGCACATTGGGCTCCTCTCTGACCCAGGCCGCACCTTGTACAGTGCTCCTATCCCCTTTTGTTACTTGAAAGATCATTGATATATTCTCCTTGATGAATAACCATTCAGCTCAGTATTTACCCGTGGAATTCAGCCACCTTTTCCACGGAACTTTCTATCCAAAAAATGGTAGCATTAGAAACTGTGTGCGCGGGAAAAGTCTCAAAAAACCTGCAGCCCCAGCCAGGCGAGGCCTAGACACTGGGACCACATGAGGTTCGCGATACCGAAAAGTTTGGCCCACGAAGCCATGATTCGAGACTCCCAACAAATCCGAATATCCACTCCTAGAAACATCACATCAGGCTAAAGCAGCATCCACTCTACACGCTCGAGCTAGTAAATCCCTATTCCAACGAGCACACCTCTCGTCAGCTCAGTTCCTGGCGTCAAAGACCCTTGCACACACACATCCATAGGAATACAAATACCCACCACTAGAGGCCAATCCTCGCGCACGATGCTGAGAGGGCGCTCTCGGGGATGGACGTCATGGGTATTAGGATAAGAGCACAGGATGATATTAGGGCTGGATGCGATCTTGGAGGGGGAGATTCTGATTAGTGGTACGGAGGCTATCATACTGGAGAACACGGTGCGCTCTACGACTTAACATACGGAAATGCAGGCTATCCTGCACATGCCACCATGACTGGCGAGTGCAGTGGTGGGACATGCGGGCTGGACTACTATGTAGACTTCGCAGAGCTTGGACACATTCCACTCGAGGCAGGAGATTGCTTTTCCGGGTCCGGCAAGATTCCACCACATTTCTCACGTTGCTAGTACGCATGTCTCATAAAGACGCACTTCGATAACCAGGCATTGAAAACTTTCCTCTGGTGCAAGCTCGAGCGGATGGGCTGGCTGTTTTGTGCAGGCAAAGATACCCAATACAGATACTTGTAAATGAAATCCAGTGTGATGTCTAGAGTCAAAAGGGTCATGCAACACCTACATAAAGCGTGGTTTCTGTGTCGTAGTTGTAGAGCTAGATACACTGTAATCATAAGAAATTGATGGGACTCCTTTGAATTTGAAATCTTTTACGTGATAGGAAGAATCTAACATTTATTTAGACGTGACGCGGGATTGGGACTACTTTGTATGTATGTATGAATTTCGTATCAGGCAAAAGCCCTACACCCAAGAGCCATGATACGGGTGTGTGATCTCTAAAGACTCACTACTACCTATCTCTCCAGCTTTCTAGGCCGATTGATTACATGAAAAGAAGAAATAAAGAAAGTTTCCTATACAGAAAACGCCCTGCGCCTTGCCCGCTTTCATAATCAATTGCTAAAGATGGTCTAGTCCCTCGGAAAGGTTTAGCCCTCTTAATGTGAAAATTGCCCTGCGTAGCATCTCGTTACGATTATGTACTTATAGAATTCCTCCCATCTGTTCTCTGTCATCATAACTCGACTTCTTGGTGGTGCTTCATGTCAGAATATTCTCCATTGTAGCAGAGCCGTTCGGCACTCTGCAAAGTGCTAAGGACGTCTTTCCCTTCCACAGACGCATCTACAGTCTATATTTTTATGCCCGATTCAGTCATGGTAACCCTTGAAATCCCCGTGTCCTGTCCTCGCTGCCATCAGACTATGGTATGCCCATCTCGGCAGTCCAAGCTCGGGTGGTCGTTTTCGTCTCATTAGAAGGTCTAATTCTTCGTACCGTCTTGGTCTATTTTGAAGCCACTAGGATTCCACAGCTTCCTCGGCCTGCTCTCGGACGAGCTGGTTCAGCGCTGCAAAGGTGTATATCTGCTCACCCCTTAAGTCTGAGAGGTCTCTCAGGGCTGCCTTGGCCAATTTGTCCGCCTACTCGTTCCCGGTAATCCCAGAATGTCCCGGTCTTGGGACTACTTTACCTGAGCTCCGCTTCATTTTATCTGTCGGCTAGCAGGTGCTACCTAATATAGTCTAGTGTCATACTGAGCAGGGGAGTAATTTGGGGGCACTTTTATCCATGGATTTTTGGCAAAATCGAGAAGTCGAATATCCCATTTTCCCCCTCACCTCTACACTCGTCATACTAGCTATCATTTCCTGTTTGCAATCACAGGCTATCGAGATACCTTTAGCTCTCACTGTAGGCTTCATTGAGAAGAACTTGAGCCCAAGACCCGCCAGGAGAATTCCTGTTTTCAACAAGTCTACAGCATTCCCATCTACTCAAGACGGAGCAAGTTGGGATAGGCTACTATGCAGAATGTGTTCCTAAGGAGATCTCAGACGTTTTGAAACGATATTCATCTATCCGAGGCGCAAGTAATAGAAAGAATTGGAAGGCGGCCGGAAGTACAGTGAATGACATTTCTAGCCACACAGATTTCTGCATCGACCAGCTAGCATGTTGTTTTGAATCTTTCACGTGGGAGGCTGTGGAAAGCTGAGAACGACCACCGAAGAAATTGGATAGGGAAATGTCTCTGGTCAAAAAAAGGACTGTCTATACGTATGTGGGTTGTTTGCTTTGGTCATTGCTTGTATTCAGTGTTTAGAACCGCAGATTATCTATCTATAGCGCATATCTATCTTTAGAGTTCAAGAGATCAAGTCAATGATGATCAGTGTGTATAGTCCTGTAACTCCGAGAGAAATAGGAATCAAGTTATTTTTACTGAGTTATCTTTTTCTAAATGACAAAAATACTTCGCCTGTCAAAGGTTAGGCTCCCAGCTACCTGACAGTAGCTAAGTCTTCGAACTTAGTCCAAGTACTGGTATTAGATCTTCCTCACTGAATTCTTTTTTTCGATTTGCCGGGCTACGATGTACTAGTAATTGATCCTAGTCTCTTTGGGTCGACAGGTGGCACACTGAAGGTAAAAATATTTCTCTAAATATATGATCTAATGAAGATTTGTAAAGAGAGGTACTTTTGGAAGGATCTGTAAAGGAGATCTACCATCGGACGTGTTATCTGGATCATAGGTAGCTTTGGCTGACTAGTAAAAAGAGCCTGTTTATCCTTCGAAGTCACCAACCAGAAAAGGGGACAGATTTATAATAAAAAATTAAAAGATAAAGTTATGTCGTAGAGGTAGATCTCATGATAAAATTCCTTTCGTGATAAAACTCTCTGGAGCCATGAAGATCTATTAATGAAGATATATAATTTGTGAGTAACCTGTTTCGCAAATATTCCTTAGTGTGATTACGTAGATGGAGTATCAGAAGATGGGCGAAAATCGATATCATTATTTTAGTGCCGACGTGGCTAAAAGAATATTGGAAAGAGGATTAATTGCCGTCATTACACAGTAATTGTTGGTTGAATGCATGTGTGAACAGCGTCTAGGCCAGAACAAAATAATAGAGTACGAGTATGTCCGAAATACGCCTCAGACTCCTTACCATGAAACACCACACAACGCATACCATAGAACGCAAACTATACCCAATTGTCTATACAATACATCCAGGCTCGTGATTTATGTTTTAAAAGCTGTTTTTAGTCTGGCCTCTGCTCAGTCCGGATGCTATTCTTAACTCTACCCGTTCTCTATGCTGACGATTCTTTAGATGAACTTCAAAGTTACCAACTGTAGCTTCTGGACCAGGTGTATAAAGCTTTCCAGGGCAATCATGACATCTAATTCGTGGTAGGTACATCCACTTAATACCTTCCGTCGACTGTCCTGGTGATGGCGCTGCACAAGGAGTCTCGGTGCTAGAATTAACGGCTGAGTATCGCATTACACCTTCAAAACGATCATTCGGGTAAGATTTGAGTAGTTCCGTGAGACCAGAAGTAAGCCAGGTTGGAGGTTGTGGCTTGTGACTATTTAGTCAACGCATCATAGAGAAGGAATTTACTTACAGGTGGTGGGTTGGGTTGACCGGAGGGTGGTGGAGGTGGTGCCTCGATACGACCAATTTGTCCTTGGCTAGAAGATGGGGTAGGGTTTGTTGGTTGAAGTCTATGTTGGACACCAGTAGCTGATGGTGGCGCCATAGTGATGGGAGCTGCAGCCCGCGCTCCGGTTTTGTTAGATGTTGTAGACCGATTGTGCTGGGGGTTTGTGTGAGTGTTTGATGATTTAGTTCTTGACTCAAGCTCTCGTAAAAACTTTCTGAACTTTTCTTTGCCAATTTCTAATTTTATGATCATTGAAGATATTTCTGTACTTCCTTCACGAGCTTCACGACCAAGCCTTCTTGCAGATATCCTTGTTTCATGGTGATGGAGAGCAGCAATTTCCGGCGTCTCGGAGCGCCCCAAATTTGCCATTCGCTGCTGTGCTACTGTAGCTGCACCACGCATTCCTCTTGTCCTTGCTGTCCCAGATAAAAGGTTCGATATGGCAGGTGATTCAGGAGCTGAGTCTTCACTGTCTGAAAGGTCAGAAATGTCCTCATCCCGTGGGCCAGAGCGTTTCCCTCTGCCAGAGGGTCCCACACGCTTGTATAATCGGCTATCTTCTATCGTTTCTGCTGCACCTGGAATTACTGAGGAGACAACTAGTGTGCGTACTGTCCTTTGCCTATCCTTTAGATCTGGTAAAACTGGTCCACCCCTTCTATTTACTGAGCGCTTCTGTCTCCGCTGCTCTCGAGAGTATATGACTTCACTTCTTTCCAAGTCTGCCTCAGTCAACTCATACAAATATGGCCCATATTCTCGCACCTGTTGTTGGGGACGAAGCACAGCTGGTAAGGGTGTTGGTAGAAATGCCGAGATTAAATCAGCGTCCTCCAATGGGCGCCCATCGAATGGATATCCCACAATATATAAGCTTCGTGTATATAATTGGCTTTGTTCTCTAATACAGTGAGCAATGGCAGTTGTGAATTCGCCTGAAAGTGATAGTTCCCGGGTCATACTGAGGGCAAATTCTTCTGGTGAGTTTAAAGGGTTATTGATTTCCCATTCAAACTTATCCTCTAATGTGTGAGATCCTACAGTTATATTTAGTTTGATAAGTATTCGCATCTCTTCATTTTTGTAAGCCGAATATGGCAGTTCTGGATCTAGTGCGTCTTCCTTGATATAAACCTGAGGATAAAAGTCGTTTAGTTGCCCACGTACTTGATGTTGAACCATCTCAACTAGTGGGGTTGCAGGAGGTACCGCTAAGCCCAAGTCCTCCACAAGCTGTGCGGCGAATAAGTCCGTTGAAATGATTCGATCATGAAGATTCCAAGTGAACGTATCCCTCAACCTTATTTTATCCCAATCTACTTCTAATCTTATTGGTACAAGCACTTCCACTTGTTCTGCTTGCTGAGCCAATTCATTTCGTTTGATTCTGAGCCTGGCCGTCTTTCTGTGCCCAAGTCTAGGCTTTGCATTTGGATATATTAGCTTCGGTGGCCCGTCCGTGTGTCCATTGCCATAGCCACTGTAACCGTGCCCGTATAGTCGACTGGGTGGAAACCATTGTCTATACTCTTGGCGGACTTTCCTATAATCTTCTGCTTCATCTCTGAGATCTGTATATGTCTTTCTCCAGTATCGCTGATCTGTCACTACTGCAGCAGTATGCGCTAGGTCACGGTTCACGTACTTCTCGAGGAGAATCTTCTCGAACTGGGGTTTGCTTCGATGTCGATGCGCTAGGTGAGAGGTAGATATGGGAAATGTAATGTTAGAATCTATTGTTGGTTGCTGATACTCAGAAGCCATAACGATCATCTGCGACAACTTTCAAAAGTCATCTGGAATTACAGATAGATGGGTCGCAGCATAGTTGCAGGCGGCTGAATCATGCCACGCTAACTCTAACTAGACTAGTTGGCGACTTGACCCATCAACAACTTGATAGAAAAGTTATTAAGCTTTCTCACGGGTTTATGTAAATTAACAGATCATATCATTGATATCACAAAGAATTTGAGGCCTCGACTTAGAAGTGTAGTTCGTGCATATTTCTCCACCTCCCTACCTTTGGTTGCTTCGTTTAAGTTGGAAATTTGCAGGGGGCCCGTTGGATTGGCCTTGCGCACAAGTTTGCTGTTTTCTCAATTTAGCTCGTCTATCTCCACCGTCTCTCTACACAGCCGCCCTGAAAGAAACCGTGCTAGAATTCGCTTGTCTTAAACCACAAGTGTAGATTGACACCTTCCAAAATCTTACAACATGACCGATAAAAAAGAAAATGAGTCTATCGGTCAGTTAATCTCACGGTGAAGTGGGGCGAGTGTGACCCCGCCAATCGTCACGCACAAGTTGCGAACCATGGCCTGTCATTGAGAAAGTTGGAGGGTCTATCGAGCTGACTTATAACAATAGACCATTCCATGATTGATCCAGATACCCTGACAAAATACAAGAGTGCTGCTCAGATATCCCAAAAAGTATTGGAGGCAGTTACTGCGCTATGTATCGCTGGGGAGAAAATTGTGTCCATTTGTGCTAAAGGAGATCAACTCCTTGAAGAAGAGATAAGCAAAGTCTACAGAGGCAAAAAGATAGCAAAGGGTCGGTAGGCTCTTATGCGGATCAATTAGAAGCAACTGACTAGCTACAGGAATATCTCACCCAACAACTGTCTCTCCATCTTCGTTCATCACGCCATACACTCCACTTTTATCTGATGAAGCAGAAGCAGCCGTGACGCTCCGTGAAGGAGAGGTTGTTAAGATCCAGCTCGGTGCACAAATTGACGGCTTTGGAACTATAGTATGCGATACAATCGTCATATCATCTATCGAAAACCCAAAATCTGAGATTGAGGGTCGCACAGCTGACTTGATTTTGGCAAATTACTACGCCAACGAGCTTCTTTTAAGATTAATGATTCCTCCGGGGCTTCTATCATCTGGAACTGAAGAAGATAAAGCCAAAGAAGTTAAGATTAAAGCTCCATCTCAAACAAAAATTACTCAACTCTTGGAAAAGGTTGTAAAAAGTTACGACTGCAACCTTGTCGAACACACTACTAGCTGGCAGTTTGAGAGAAATGAAATTGAAGGAAAGAAAAAAATAATTTTGGCTCCCGGCGATGGTGCTAAAGGTGAGGGTGTTCCTGACGTCAGTGATGTATGGGGAGTCGAAGTGGGTGTCAGTTTGGGATCAGGGAAGATAAAAAACCTAGAGAACAGAGCAACTCTTCACCGGCGCACTAACCTGACCTACGCATTAAGGAGGCCTAGCTCCAAGAAAGTCCTAAACGAAGTAGTCAAAAGATTTGGAGTTTTCCCTTTCAGTCTAAGACAGTTAGAAGATGAAAGAGACGCAAAAGTAGGAGTCGTTGAGTGTGTCCGTGGAAATGTTTTTCGACAATATGAAGTTGTTGGTGATAAGGATGGAGAGCCAGTTGCTAGGCTCCTTACAACCATCGGTCAGTCATATACTAACTCGTGATATTTTTGAAGGCTAAATTCTCCACAGCTTTAACAAAGAATGGGCTTCAAAAGCTTGCAGCAGCCCCACCTGTAGATCTTTCAAGGTTTAAGACAAGCAAAAAGATAACAGATGAGGAGGTTCTACGGATCCTTGAATTACCATTAGCAAAAGAATCAAGATCAAAGAACAAGAAGAAAAAAAAGACCGTTAAGAAAACTTCTCCTATCGCAGAAGATGGAGATAGCGATGAAAACGGTGAATGAAAATGAAGCTCGGCAATACTCGATGTCTGTAAGAGTGTAACGCAGCAGGCACTGTCCACATTGATCTAGAAGCAATGCAAAAACTACGAAGGAAGTATTACCATAAGCTCTAACATAGCTTTCCTTGATCTAAATATTTTAAGAAACCTTTTACATGGTTCTAGCAGCTTGATTTACAAAAGGTATCGGAGCTGTGAAAATACTGTATTTGTCATTTTCTGAAGCACAATTACTTAAAGCATCAAAGCTTCCTCGTCGTAGCACCCCCTATGTTGAGAGGTACTCTCGTATTTGAACTGTAGTAGCCCACAATATCATGAGATAAAATATAAGAAAATTTCCTAAATCGGGAGCCAATTCTGCCCCTCATCTAAATAACAAGTGATTCTGGAGGTCCCTGTACTCATTGCCAGCTTAAATTAAGCGAGCGCATCCAAGCGAGATCTATCTTCTTCACATCTCGTCTCCAGTTTATGCATCAATGAGATCATTCATTCATTTCAAATCGCGACAAGGATAGGCTGTATGAACTAAGGCTAGAGAGACACGTATAAACTTCTGATTAAAACGAAAGATGTGATTTCGCTAACGATCTGATAGCCGAGTGTTGGAGTCGTGGCGGCTGCTGAGAGTCGTAAACGATTTTTGCGTTTTGTGCAGTCGGCAAAATGAGTAACCTTACCACCAGACCCACGAGGTCGAGAGTGTCGAGTCCTTTTGTTAGTTCAACCAAAATATTAAAAGCCGATAATATAAAGACCAAAATGAGTGGCGTATCCAGCAGTGGCCAATCCATTCTCGACGGATGGGTAGAGCCTGTCGTACCTCCTCAGCGCCCTAGCTATGCGGATGCAGGAATTGAGCGTCACGGAGTCGTTCAGAATATGGCACCTCTTGGATCGCGACCAAGCCTAAAGATCCTCAAGGCTACTGCATTACTTGAAGGAGCGGAGGGAACAGTTAGACCGTTAAGTATGAAAAAAACGATAGCTTCCAACAGAAATACACCTATGAGCTCCGCGTCAGCACCAGATCCAACAATCTCTTTTGCATTGCAGCCAGAATCAGCTTCCGGTAAATCAGGGTCGCAAATGGAACAAAATCCTCCGCTTAAATCTCCAGAGGATGACTCTTTCTCGCTCGATGTTCATGACCAAACGGACTTAAGTAAGCAAAAAGTAGCTACAGCTTCTAGTCCACTCGTTGTTGATCAAATGGTACTCTCACTACAACAATCATCTGCATTAATGGATACTAGGAACCTGGAACAGGACATTTCACAGAGAGAATTTTCGCATTCTCCCATCGTACCTCCAGCTACCGGTCTAGACGGTCTTCCCCTTATAAACCTTGCACAGACCGATCGCGTGGTAGAGCTTGCAGTCCAGGATGCCGTTGAAAAAAAAAGGTGGCCTACTGCGTATGCACTTCGAACCTTATACGATGATAATAGAGGTGATATTTCATTCATTAGACTACTCGAGGCTGTTTACTACAGGTACGCTACTGAGAAGGACCTCGACGAATTTGAGCGATTATTGAAACCCAAAAAGAACGAAGGAAAAAAAGATCGGACTGGCGAATTGTACTTCTGTGGTGATGGGAACCATGCAGCAGCCCGCTCTCCTATATATTCAGCAATTAAGGCTCTTAATCCTCCAGCACCAGCTTATGTGACTCCTTACAATTCTCTTCCTGCGCTTCAGCCAACGCTAAATTCCACTGAACGCTCTAAATCAGGAAGTAGGAGCTCTTCTGTCAAGATATTGTCAAGAGCTCCGTCTCCGTCCTTAGAATCTGGACATGTTCACAAGAAGCCAAGAAGAAATGGCGATTATACTGGTCATAGTGATGATCTGGGTAGCAATCGAAGTCTAAATATTGTTGGACTTAACGCGTTAGCACAAAAAGTTGTTGAAGAGCCTAAACTAAAGAGTAGATCAATGTCAACTTCGAGCTCTTCATCACTGTCATCTGTAGACGTTAACCTAATCGAAGAGGTTTCTATATCACCAGTGCGCTCGGCATCAAACCATGGACTAGCTAGACTAGGTCTATTTGGTGAGCAACCTATATTTATTTCACCGTACGCGAATGCCAATAACTTCAAAGAAGCTGCTTCATGTGCCGACACCGAGGCACGTAGCAAAGTTAATCCATCCGCAGTATCATCAAAGTCTGGCCCCAAAATTTACACTTTCTCTGTCAATCCACCCAACAACAATGCTGAAGTACAGACAAGATCGTCATCTTTGTCTTCGAAAAATTCATCAACAATGCCGCTATCGATAGCCAATTCCTCTCGGAATGATTCCATGGCTCCTACAGAAAAACTACACGCTCCTCAAAACATCGGAAAAAAGGTAGAAGTATCTATTCCGTATGAAATAAACGATGAGAATAGTGCCAAACGACGTCAGGCCAAAAATTTTACCAACTGTAACACTAATGCCAAAGTTACTGAAAGCTTTGAGCGTAGCAGTGTAAAATCAGTAGAAATCATTGATGGAGAACTCAGTGCAAAGGAACCAGCTACTGTTGCCCCTCTTATAAAGAAACCACAAAAAGTTAAGCTCAACCATAACACTCGCCAAAAAACAATAATAGCTCCCCAGGCAAGTATCTCCCTTGAACCAGGATTTCGAATAGATATTATACCTGGAAGCCCGAATAATGCTCATCGCTCTCTCCACAACAAGGAAAAGTCATACACTGGCTTACGCGTTAAAACATCGTAAGTTACCAGAATATGCACTGGATCACGATTCAAGTATTCATGCAAATCTGGGTCAAATAAAAATGAAATTTCTTACTCAGGAGTAGTTTCTTGATTATTTCATACGGACCTGAAGAATTCTAAATCAGATTTATTCGTTTCACCACATTAATTCTATAGTTATAGTTCTAACTGTTATACCAAATTAGGCCAATCAAGAAAAAAGCTGGAACAAACGCTGGCATTCCTCGAGGTATATGCGATCGCAATAGTCCAATTGGTAACAATGCACTCATAAATAATGTAAGTTGGCATAGTTTTTCTACACCTGCCTCTACAAGTACAGGGCCAGCTGCTTCTAAATTGTATAGTATGCAATTATTTCAAACCTGGCTATAATCCCTTAAATTTTCGGATTGTGCTTTCTTGCGCAAGTTTATATCCCTGCTTTTCAAGAATAAATGCGGAGCAAAATTCTTGTCCTGATATCAATGTCTCCCTCACCAAAAAATTAACTAGTTCCAGAAGGCTTCTAATTGCTCATTTTCACAGGATGATAATGATGATTTTTGCGCATCTTGCGGAGGCAATGGCGAAGTAGTCTGCTGTGATGGCGATACTTGTAAACGATCGTTTCATTTCAAGTGTGTCGATCCTCCAATAATGCCGAATGCACTTCCAGAAACATGGTTCTGCAATGAATGTCAAGTAAAACGATCAGGTCATCGGGAGGAAAAATCTGGCTTATTTCGTCTACTCCTCCGTCATCTCGAAGAGAAAAACCCTGGAGCTTTCAGTCTTCCTCTGGAATTACGGGGGTATTTTGAATCTGTCAAAACAGGGCCTGATGGGGAGTATGAAGAAATAGCGGTTTCAAAGACTAGGTGAGACAAAAAATAACTCCGAAAAAGTCGATAGCTGACGAGCTTAGAACTACGAATCGTGCCGGATGGGAAGAAGCTCCAGATTATTTCAAGAAAAGAGATAATAAGGGAAAGCCTATTCTTTGTCACGCTTGTGGTCTGCAAGCAGAAACTCCTAATCGTGTCATTATTCCATGTTCTTTTTGTAACCTATACTGGCATTTGGACTGCGTTGAATTGCCGTTGGCCAAAGAACCAGCACCGGGAAGACTTTGGAAATGCCAAGCCCATATCGATGACCTTCTTCGATTAATCCCAGACGCTCTAGCGCCAGCTCATCGTTTCCGTAAAATCAAGGGCTTACCAGCTATTCAATCTGGAATTCCTCGAGGACTTAAAAATCACGGTCACATTGAAGTTGAAAATGAAACTACGGACTCTGAAACTATCTCCCAACCGGCCTTTTATGAAGAACGTCCATTCGGGCGTACTCACAAGGTTACAGAGGAAAGTATTAAGCTTGAGTTCTTGACTAAGTATATTTATCGCAAGGTTACCATCTACACAACTGACAATATTCAGGGTCAAGAAAGAAGGCGGTGGCTATACACGAGCGCGATTTGGCGAGCAAAACGCTAAAAGGCGAAAAGTATGGTCTGAAGCCAATTTTAGTGATCAACAGGCAGCACTTAATCTATCAGTGTTAGCTAATTCATGCCCTGATATAGAGGGCTTCGATAGTTTGATAAATACTCTTCTGGTACGCATTCATCAAAGAAGCTAATAAAATCAAATCGAGTTATTCCAGGATCTGACAAAATTTTTAGGCCGAAGCTCCTCTAAATGTCATAAACATGATAGCATTGGGTGATGCAGATAACTATACAGCGGAACGCACCCAATTAAAATTGGGGGATAAAGCATCGCTGATTGCTCTAAAAGAATACATCAATATTAAGCTCAATTGTCTTGATGAGCTAGGGCCAGAAGAGCCTGTTCGTAAAAAACCCCGCAATTCAAAAGACTGTACCACAAAAACTCTTCAGTAATATCCTACAATACCTTACCGAAAATTCACAATTCCAGATCAGCATGGACTCCACATGATTCTTTAAATCCAATTTGGGGACATGTTTTGCATGTCTCAAGCCTTGCTAAGGCTAGCTTTGTCCAAAAAATCGTTCAAATAACTACTGACACCAACCTTCTACTAATGCCTCTAGAGCAAAAGCATAACATCGGACTTAAGCTATAGTTCCCTAGTCTTGACGAATCCCAATTTTATTGCTCTATACTACCAAAGTGTCTATTCACGTTTATCCATTGTTTGCCTTAATTATCAGCACAAGCGAGAGGGCTTTCTTAGGGCGGCGTCATTTCGCAGGAAAGTTATGATTTGTACCATATGGCGTTATTGGTTAGGAGGAATAGACAAATCTCAGTTTAAGGGATGGTTGACGAAGAAGCTCAAATTTTGGCCTTCATTTTGTTTTATTTTTCCTAATTGGACGTGATAGAGATTTCGATGACGAGGACGAGTAAGAACACATAACAGGAAGTCCAATGTATGAATTTTTTTCATGGTGTTGATCAGGAAGCATTCCAACCCCTGTAAAGTGGTCAGGATTCATTGGTAGCCAGCTAGATGAACACTGGGCTGACAATATAGAATTAGACAGCTTGATATGTCTGTAGGAGTTCATATTTGTTGAAGTCCTAAGACAAAGCTCTAGGCCCATTATGGGTTCAGGACTCCTGTACTCTAAGGGGTACATGATTTTTACACAGCCCAAATCATTCCATCTACTTGAATTTCAACAAATAGAGAAGCTAATAGCAAAGCTAACCCCAAATTAACTTCAGTAAAGATTATATTAACTTTTAAATCTTTAGTGCAGCAGGTCGATTGTTGTGTAGCAACTTAGTTACAAAAGGAAAGTCACTAGTCATCACAAAATCTACTGTCTCGCATTGCTCGCCTAATATACTAATTTCTACCTTGACGTGATGCTTACGACTTGATCTGAAACTATCTATTTCAATAGAGCTTCTTTTATGGTACAAATCCCGTGCTCCTCACCTGTTTCCTTTCCCGTCACATCCTCCAAATAATAAATTCTGATCTCCGCTTAGAGCGAAAGATTAGTGTGCAAGTAACCCTTAATCTTGATTGGTTTCCTGCTGTGTAACTTTGAAGACTTCGTAGACTTCACCAGAGGTCGCTGCACAGTCAGACTTCTTCGGACTCCAGAGCTCTGAAGCTCGATCCCTCTTCCATAGTAACGTCCTTCGAAGAGGCGACGATTGCCTCCTCAGCTCTTTTGGCATTAGCTTTGGCTAGGGCTATTTCTGCGAACATCCCTTGTTCCACTTGGTGAATATCCGCGAGCTATACGTTGTTCACCGATCCGAATTTTGTGAGTCTAGCGAGGCAGGCCCAAGGATCCGATCGGTGAAGTCCACCACAGTTTAGGCATCATGAGGTGGCCTTGCACTCTGCTTGCGAGCACATATTGGACCCGTAGTTCTAGAAGGCTGGAGCGCGAGAGTGACCGCGGATGGCATGGAAGCAAAGATGGTGTTTGCATTGTTCGGCTTGCCAGCGAGGTCGAGCGCTCGCTCGCTAGATTTGACGTGTCGCTCCGGATTTGCTGGTGCCGTGAGGATGGGTCAGAAGGGGAACCTACTTGGCCACTCATCTGGTTTCATCGGCAACCATCTGTGCCGCAGTGGCGATGGAGTCTACTAGGGTGTAAATTGTCACAGGAGCGGTATTAATTTGGATGGCAACCAGATTAAATGCTGGCTCAAAATCCATTCCAGAATCCCTCCGTAGCGCAGTGGAATCCGGAGGCTCTTTCCGCGTGACTTTGTTCGTTGTTGTCAAGACAATGCCGGTTTTCACCCGCTGAACCAACATTGCCCAGAGCCTTCAACGTGGCTGATCGAATACCAGAGATTGATCTCGACTTCGATTCGGATGCGATTTTTCTCGGCTATCCCACATATGCAGAGCAAACTGAACGATTACTCCGGCAACACTAGGAGGAAAAGTATTTGTCTTTGCCGGCACAACAAATCAGTAAGTTGCCGAAGAAATTGTTCTTCTGGTAGACAACATCAGGGAACACATCTAGATAAATATTATCCCCTACCCATAACAAATACTAGCGTATATCATATGTTCTTTTCTGTTCATTTATATGCTAGGTACATGTCATCCATCATTCAAAATACTCCACCACGTCGTTTTTTCGCTCCCAACGAGTTTGACTCCTACCTAAGTCTCATCAAGCCTACAAGTACGACCAAGTACATCCTCATCCCAATGAACGCCCCACTCTTCGACCTTCTCTGGCCTCAGTTGACCACCAAATACACGCCCACGCCGATATTTATACCCGACAGAGAAAGCAAAGCGTGGAGCACAAATCTAGGAGACAGTTCTTTGGGATGGACGTGAGAGGGATCAGGACAAGTTGACAAGATGATGCGAAGGAAGGATTTAACCTCGAAGGGCGTAAGGTTCCGAATTTTGGCAAGAGTTTTACGAATTGAGCTTTGCGCGCGCCAAGACTTCGCATTCGAGAGTGCAGCTAACAATAAAAACACAAGCAAACGATGGAAGGTGTTGTGATCCGCCTCCTGGTGGTGTTCTCCTGTATGATTCGAGTAATCTGGGCACCTTCTTCACTTGGGAAGGAGACATCTCAGATTAAATTTCGCGCGGAGAAAAGTTGAAAGATGACGGAGGCCTGTCTGGATAACTCAGGGTTTTTGAGACGTTCCCCTGGGTGGGTATTCACGGATGAGGGTTGACTTGGGGTGAAGAAAAAGCCACCATAACTTCGCAGTGGCACTTGCAAATGAAATCCGAGGCATGAGTGCTCCTCTTGTAAATTGAGTCATCTTTTCTGTACTTTTCTTTAATATTGTGTCATAGCTAGATAGCTGCATACGCAATTAAAATCTGATGCAAAAAAAAAAAAAACAGCAGATTCGGCCTATGCCAAAACAAATTAAAATTGACAGTGTATTCAGCGATCTTGATATGACACATGACCGTTGCCACCATACCTGAATAACTTTGAAAAAATCGATGAGATACCCTATAATCATCACCCTTACCCTTTGATTCGGATACATTTATACTAATTCGACTTCTCATAGCAGCAATACTGCAGATCTCCAACATGTCTCCGGGGCCTGCCAAATTATCGCGACTTATTCGCCATAAAAGAATTATGGACAGAATGAATATCAAGCTGAAGAAGCACTTGGAACGTAAAAGGATACCATTGAGCTCGATAGACGGGCAAAAGATGGAATTGGACATGGCCGAGAGGATAAGACCCTTCGAAGAAGACTCGAACTCCACAAACCCAGATGATGAGATGGGTGACGCAGCCATCAGCCAATATATGAAAGAGGGTCTTGAGAGCTCGAGATGAAATATACAGGAGCCCGAAGATGGTCAGGCCTCAGAGGCCCCCGTCAATATAAACACAAGGAAAATTGCTGTGCCGGCCATGAAGCGGACATCTAATGTTGACGCAAAAAAGGCCGACTTAGCCGCGTCCACCACAACCCCTCGGAATACCATTCCGAGGGAAATTGGCAACAATCAAACTTCTTGCAGCGATAGTACCTCCAAGAAGACTGCGACTTGTCCTCCTAAACTTCGAGCCATACTTGAAGCCGAAGAACAGCGAGCGGCCCAGATCGCAACTAATCTCACAATATGCACCGCTGCTATCAATGGTGTGGAAAATGCGCTCTCACCTCTATCCAAAGGGTCAAGCGTTCAATTCATAGACTCCATGAAAGTCTACCTCCGAGCTGCAATAGCTCAGTTCATGATGTCGGGACCAGGAACAGTCCTTGCCAACCTCTCCCCACGACCAAACTGCCAAAATCATGGCGGAAAGATCGTGGAACAAACGATTGAAAAGCAGCTAGAGCTGCTACAAAAAGCGACCCAGGTCAAGGTGACTCAGGTCAAACCAACTTGGGCAACAATTACCCGAACTGGCCTCCACACGCCAGCAGCACCTGTGAAAGATGTGCGGGTCCATAACAAACCCCGACACCAACGAGACCTCCGGCAAAAGCTAAGAAAACTGGCCCCAAAGATGATCATTTGTTTCTTCGACTCGGCAAAGACCACGCCTAGCGCCCTCTCACCGGCTGGCGTGCGAGATGCGGCAGCAAAAGTGCTCGAGCTTCCCTCACAAAACATTGAAGACGTATACCGTATTACGACTGGCTTCGCACTTCGAGCCAAAAAACAGGAAGCACGACAGCTTCTTGGAAACTCTGCTACATCGTTCGTCCAGGTAGACGCAAAGATGAAGAAGACCTCAGATCTAGTGGCCCTTCGTATTGCGACCATTCCAGTAGCTATTCATACACTTCTGGGAAAAGTAATTGTCACTGACGAGATGGTGGCCGAAAAAATCGCCAAGGTCACTTCAAAGGTTCCGGTAAGGGTCCGCCCTCATGGAAAAGGACGAGTCGGATTCCCCTACCAGACATTGGTGGCTCACTTCGAAAGAGCGTCCGTCCCTAGACCGGGATTCCGAATATTTGATGACTCGGGAATTGCTGTTCGACATCAGCCCCGCCCAACTGTGAGTCAATGCAAGCGATGTCTCCTATACCGCGGGACTCAAAGTTGCTCGCGCACCCCAGTATGCTGGAACTGCACCTCAACAATGCACTCCACGTCGGAATGCAAAGAGCATATAAAGTGCCGCAACTGTGGGGGGCCCCACCAATCGGACAGCCGAGGTTGCCTGGCTCGCCACACCAAGTCTGGAACGGGCTCGAGAGAAAATCTCTCGACTATCAGACAAGCTAGCCAACGCGAATATGCCGCGGTGGTCCGAGCAAAAACTGCAGTTCGACGGGCAGAGGCCGATATCAAAGCCGCCACTGAGATGGCCAAAATAGCTACGCCGAACTACAGCTCCAATAACAGCTACGAGGTTCTAATGACGGATGAGACGCCAAACATGACTGAGGTCACAGAGGCAGTCGTCCCAAAAAATCATTCATAAAGGGCGCCCCGTGGGCCCCTTTCCGCCTCCCTCCTACTCTAAGTTTCATATCAATAAACGTAGGTAGACGAGGTCCGACGCAGAATATTGCACTTGCCCGAGCATTCGAGCTGAATATCGACGTTGTTCTAATTCAAGAACCTCGGTGGAAGGAAGAGACAATGTCTCATCCTGGATATATTTGCCATTTACCTCATGGTGGCAAAAAGGTCAGGCCAAGGGCTGTGACCTACACCCGGAAAGGTGATAGGACAATATTAGCGAGGCAACTCTTCCCCTATGCTAAGCTGACGGGCGACTATTGCTGGGTGCTTGTTAATGGAGTCACTTTCCTCAATGTGTACAAGGCACCCAGAGACACATCAGCCGTACAGCCACTTATCAATTGGACCCCGCCGCCAAACTCAGTTGCTGCAGGTGATTTCAATTCGGTGTACTGTGCCTGGCAACCAGGAGTCACGAGCCCCTACAGGCAAGGTAAAATGATTGAAAGATGGGCAGAAGATCACAATCTAACCTGCCTTATTGTTGGAGAACCCACGCATCAAACTGGAAATACCCTGGACCTTGTCTGGATCAATATTAATGGCAGCCGTGTATGGGTTGACCATGATGAATGTGTCACCAGCGACCACCTTCCTATCCGAGGAATAATCCCGGTCCAGTCCGCAACATTGAGACCCAACTTGGGCAAGATTCGAGAGATGAAGGAAAGACTGCCCGACTTTGCACGAGCTGTTACTAAGCTAGTCTGTTTGCCGCCACTCCTAGACACGATTCAAAAGGTTGGAGACTACGCCCAGGAACTTTGCTCCCACCTCAAGACTGCCATCAGTGCAACAGGAACTCGATCTAGAGCAGACTCCGGTAAATCTGCCCCATGGTGGAGCCCGGCGTGCAAGGTTGCAAGGGCCGAATACCAAGCGGCCGCAACACCCCTCCAACGTTCTGTGTACGCCAAAAAGCTCCAATTAGTTCTCAGAGCCGCTAAAAAGGAATATCAAGCACAGCTAGTCGAAAATTTGATCACGCCGAACGATGTCTTTAGCTTGATGAGAAAGGCTACTCCTAGACAGTCAAGCATTCCTCCACCTCTTAACCACAATAGAGTTCTCATCTCTGATCCGCTAGAGCGAGCCACAGTTCTCCGTGACTCTCTCTGTCGGTAAAAGGACTATATTGGGCGTTATGAATTGTTCTATATAATTGCGGTGTTTAGGATGTCGTTAGGACTCTGGCAGGGATCTGATTTAGCTCATTAGCGAGGTGCTTGGAGTAGAGGAAGAAAGGGCAGAGGGAGAAAGAAAAGGAGAGACAACGTTTTATGTATTTTGAGATACCAGTTAATTGAGATTACTCACGGACTTCGTGACGGCACCCAATTTGTATTACTTCGTGTTTTACTAACAGCTGGGCTTTGGGACGATGTATATATCTCGGAGTCAAGAAGAGAGCCAAAGGCTCGGGCGCGTAGTGGCCGAGGCTGAAGAAGAGCTTGTGCTACGTTGTTCACACAGCGAATCTCTGGACGGACGGGCTTGAAATTGTTCAATACGTGGGTTAAGTCTGAGGTGGTTCGGTCATTAAGGTGGGACGAAGTTTAATGTACTTGAATGGTAATTAACCTAATCCAGCGGGACCCCATTCTTATTCAAGTTCAGAAGGAGTGCGGAGGATGCATATTCCCTAGCACGTTAATCTAATAGACAAAATGAAACTGTCCTATCTCATCACACAAGTGTGCTGGAAAACCCTTACAGATGAAAGGGACATTACTTTTTCCTCATTATCTGTCATGTTCTATTTGAAAGGCGATTTTTTAAACGTACAAAGAATAAGAAATTAATTCATATTACTAACCTCTGTTACCTAGCTCTATAGCCCCTTCATTTTGGTAAAATTTATCCAACCCATGGCTGTAAAAGAATAATATGCGCCTTTTCAATAAAATAACAAGATAAACTCTATTTATCCTGCTTCTCAGTGTGTATCGATGGCATTCAGCATCACAGTTACTTTTCCTCTCTATTTTGGGCTTTCGAAGCATCATCTTAAATTAGCCGTGCGAGAAGTAAATCGTAAACGACGGCTTGTCTCATTTTTACGAGGGGTAAGCTCTTCGTTTGGAATTGGTGGGCTATGGTCTGTATTCGTTTTGTCTACCTTTTTTTGTGATATTTTATTCCTCGGTATGTACTCCCACTCAGCAACCCCTTCCCACATCTCTTCGTCATCTTCGCTACTATCTCTTTCCTCATACCCTTTTCTCTCCTTTGTAGAACGGCCACTTCTACGCCTTTCTTCCGTGTTCAATATCTGAGGTGCCAGGCGCTCCTTTCGAGGTCTGGGTGTCTTCTTTTTTCCGTTCATTTGACGTTCTTTTTTGACTGGAGTTGTTTGGATAGACTTATCTGGCTTCATCTTCTTCGGTAGATTGGAAGGGACAAGGTCATCAATTTTTCGCTTCTGATCGATTTCAATTATTTTTGGATTTCATTTGAGGATTTAAATGGCACGTACCTTTTTCCGATCAACATCTCTGACCAACCCATCAAGGAGAGGATCTAACTCCTCAGGCATGTACATTTTTTCCGCAATTTGTTGTGCCACCTCGTGACTAGGAAGCCCCGTAAATAAACCAATTGGTAATCCAACTTGTTTTGGCCAACTCTGCATACTCCATCCCTTTTTTTCTTCCCACTTTCTGATGAGAGCCTGCGATAAATCGGAGAGGATGTAAAGTTTGTTTGAATCTGCTTCAGGGAATGCATCTCTAGCTTGCTTTACCCGCTGCGAATATTTATAGATGAGAGGAAGATTATCTTCAGATGCAACGGTAGTGATATAGTATAAAATATATCTAGCATGGTCGATTAATTCGTCGGGGGCCGAGCTGTAATCAGGATGATGTGCCAATAAATGAATTAAGCGAGGAAATGTTGCTTCGAAAGTAGTTTTCTTAGCATCATGAGTTACCTTGACTCGGCATCGGATCCATGTTATTATAGAACTACGGAAGTCCATAGATGGCTCAAATGCTGTGATAAAAATTATAGTGAGAAATCGGTGCGTTAATAGATTCCTGACAAGATATTTTTGTAATTTGCTGACAAAACCTCGACGGACATCCTCAAGTGGATCTTGAGCGACATAACTTAGGTTGTAGAATCCCTGGTGGGTTAGGAACTTATCAAAAGTTTCAATGGTGCAAAGCTTTACCACCTGCTGAGCCGCTAGGAGTCTCAATCTTGCTCTATGATGCTCAGGCGTTGTACCAGTTCTGGTAATTTCTCCCTTCTTCTCAATGAGTGAGTTCAGGAGTCTAAAAACAGGCGCCGCAAAAGCCTTGGCTGCCACATCGTCATGTCTGACACTCTGTAGACGGGAGACAAGAATTTTGACAGCTATAACCTTGGCTTGGCATTCTTCGTCGAGCTGATGATCATCCTGCCAGACAATCTCATTATTTGAATTTTCTGTTCGAGTCTCCAGAAGTAGTTGACGTGTGATATCTAGTATTTCTTCACTAGACTCCTGAACAACTGTTGGCGCTAGAGCTGCCAATTGATTAATGGTTGCAAGCTTCGTTAACAAATGACTGGATGCGTATTCCCAATCATTCAAAGATTGATCCATTAAATCCTTCATGTACATCTCTTTACGATCCGTGCAAGCCGCTAATATTATTACTGCGTACTTAGCTGCCTTGTGGGGTATCCCATACAAGGCAAAGTCTAGCAGTGCTTCTATAAAGTTCTTGTCGCTTGGAATGTACTTTCCATCAGACTTAGCGAAAGACGCAAGTGATTTAAGTGTTTCCACCACGGAGATATCATTGGCTTTAGTCTTACTAGGAGCATTAGTAGTGATAAGCTTACAAAGCTCTACAAGACTGGCACGAAATATCTCTGGGTGCTTTTCTGAAATTTCCTGGATAATAAGATTAGCAGTTGGACCAAATCCATGCTCGTTAGTTCTAGCAAACTGTAAGAGTATTGGCTGATTGCTCCTGTTGTATATTAGACAAGCTGACCTATAAATAATTGGAGTAAGAGTCTCAAGTAGCCCGGCAGGTGCCGTATTGTTTGCTTGAACCCGTTTTTGGAGCTCCTTAATAGCTTTATGCACAGTGTTAAAATCACTTCTTGGGTCCATAGCAAAACGTAGAAGTTGGTATGATCGTCGTTCGTGCAACTTTGAGAATTTGAGTAGGTCTTGATGCACTTTTTGAGAGTCTGGAAGTAACTTTGCAAACCACTTGATTGGTAGTTCCATCTTTGCCTTGACTTCAGCGATATCTTTAACGCATACACCTCCGTTGTAATCTTCACAGCAAGATAAGAATGCCTCGAGTACTTTAGCATAAGAGGTTTGCCGAGCCTGCATAGCAAAGAATGCCTTTATAGATTTAGCATCCAAGGACTTAACCATCAGTAGTATCCGTTCGGTTCGAGCTTTGTCAGTATTGACAGATTCGTTTTTGTTTGTCTCTTCTTTTGAGGATCTTGTGTTCCTAACCTTGGATTTTCCTGACGCGTAAGTAAGTGGGATGAGTTGTTCAAACAATGAGTTATCAAGAAGGACATTAAGCTCAGGATCGTTTGCATAATAGACATCGAATACCTTCGTTGGAATCGCACCTAGATCTTCGATTACAGCCCTATTACCTGCCATCATCTCGCCAGTTGCAACACCCCACAAACGACAGAGAACTTTCATAGCTTCCGTTCTAACCCCATGCCTTCTGTCACGCGCACGATCTGCAAGGCTACCCAATACAGAGCCAGAGATATTGACACCACCATAAGGAGCTAGTTTAGACATTATATCGCGGAAGCTAAAATCTCCGACTGCCTTCACAGCGGAAAGCCTAACTCTCTCGTCAGAATCGTTCAATTTTTCGGCGAGACCTTTAACGTAGACTTTTTCCTCGTTACTACTCAAGCCAATTCCACCTGCTGATGTGGTGATAATTCTTCCGACCGCAGTTGCCCATGCAGATCTAATTATTGGAGATTTATCGTTTTTTCTGCTTGCAAAGCTTCGGTATACGTGGGAGTATGTTTGTGCAAATGACTGCGGTGATATAGGCGTTAATAGAATACTTTCTGACGTAGTGTATTGAGGTTGACTGTCAAGCGTAAGCGGAGGGTAGACTGCCGGATCCATTGGGGGGGTTATAGGCGGTCCAGCAGCGCCAATACCAGAGATTATATCCCCCAGAGTTTCAGTTGCTAGTAACCTTAGTTGAACATCATCTGCAGATAACTCTTGCTCCAATTGAGGTATTACGTTCTGAAGGACGGGAGGCGACGCACGCCATAGCTCTCGAAGGAGGTTATGTGCTTTTTGTAGCTCTTTTATGTCAGCTTCCGTGGGTCCAGCAGGAGTATCATCATCCTCCATTTCTGCTGAATGAACACTTGTTTTCTGAGGTCCATTAAGTCCTGGGGTTCCATTCAAGATCTCCATTATGACCTCGTTGAAGTACTGACTTACGTAGCGGGCCATTTTTTCGGGACAAGAGTTACATATTGTTTTGGCCATGTTGTAGGCGGCTGGGAGCTCCTTCATCATGAGATTCAACTGCTTTTCATCATTTTCTTTCTTATTCTTTGTGTTACTTTTTTGATCACCGGAAAAGGATGCTCGTAAAAATTGAGCAACAATAACGTCAATGACACCTGATGGTAAGCTCTGAGCCTCATCCACAAGTATAACTAGAATCTGCACCATATTGAACTCAACATCTTTGGGAATCTGTTCAGAGTTCGAAAAATTCGAAGAGCCTGAGATCATATCAAAAAAACTGCTAAACAAACGTATTAGAAGCGAATCAGAGCTCGGAATATCGCAGAGTAAGACGACACTCTTAACTTCCGCAAGTGATGCTAGGACATATTTGTGTTGAGGATTGTATGCATGTGATGGATTTGAGAGGGCTGGTAAAATACTAGCGATGAAAAGATTGAAAATTCCCTTCCAGATTATTAGCCTTAACCTTTTTTACCCATGGATGTCATACCTTGAGCTGGGATGGAGTGAAAGGCGCATCTGGGGCGCAAATTTTCAAAATGTCAACCAAGCAACATGCAGTGAAAGCGCGTACTCCTTTATCTTTGTGACATAATAAATGCTGACTAGCAAGATCTTTTGCTACTTTGGTCAGAGAATCTTTATGTACTTCTTCCTGTTCTTCGCCCAGTATTTTTAACTCAACCAGCAGTTCTTCAAGTCTTTTTAATAGCTCGCTGGTCAGTATCGCTTTCCCAGCGTGCCATGAAAGTGGTCGGCTGAATTTGAGAGCTTTATTTTCCTCTGCACCGCGACGCGGGGCCATTTCTGATGAGCCCCAGCCGGGCAGTTAGGATTCGTGATTTTGGATACTGGGACGGCGTGCTAATGATAGATACGTTGTTAGTGTGAATGAAGTATGAGTCATATGCTGATCACGATTGATCAAAGTAAGCGTGATAACACTAGATCTTTGACGCGTCAACGCGCGTCAGAGTTCGATAACAGGCGATGACCGAGTAAGTTCTTGCTTGCTAAGGTCTTGTCTTCGCTGCTTCAAAAGTAAACGCGCACGACCAACTATTTAGGAATTCCAACCTACGATTAACTGCGTCAGATTATTGTCACTGTGGCACCGTTGAATTTGCATCTCAGCTGCATTCTATCCGCTGTTGGAGAATGTGAGCTCAGAACTTGGTCAGGAGATACTCAAACGGACCAAATAATTTTAAGAGGTAGTAAATGATATGCACATCAAATTTATTCTGTGTCGTTCTTTCCAAGGTATCAGACGCTAAGTATTGGCTTGGATTATTCTTGTGATATTTAGGTCATTTACATTTGGTAATTTAATTCTTGTGGGTTAATAAACGTTACAGTGGCTAAATTGTTGCAACTGAATTATGTAAAGGCTCAAAAGCTATTGTCAAATCGTGCGGGCCCAGGAACTCTTTGATCAGTCGACTGTCACGTTGTAGTTCCTACAATGGGTTGAGCAAAACCGAGACATAAATGTAAAGGCAGAGAGGTTGTTATCAATTACTAGAGTTGGCTTGACCGCACATAAGATAGGTCTCATTGGATATCTACCCCACAACAGTGTCACGAAGACTAGAAGTGTAACGTCGAACAAATAGCTTTGTCCTCAACCCTGTTTTAGTCTCGTGCATCTCATCCGAGTCATCTTATTTATATCAGTAATAAGCTAAAAGTTTTGCTACCTTGATACGAAATAAAATAGTTTCGTGTCATGCATAACGCCTGTGGATCTCGTTGAGAAAGTTTGTTAAATGGCGTATCTACCTCTAACAAATACGCAATTGAATTCAATTTATCCAGTTTGACATTATATTATTCATCTTTTCACATAATCGTGTAAGTGGCAAGACATGTCAAGGGAAAAACGGTTCGAGCCACAAGACCCGTAGTAGCGCCACGATCGCACATCCCAACTTCATGCCGAGGATATACATTTGCTCTATTTATTCCAGCATCATCGCACATTTGCCTATTCTAACAAAGTCCGCGCAAATGTGTGGGCGCTGGAGTAATAAGACACCAAGCTGGTAAGACTGTACTACAGGAATACTCCCCTCAACCCATCTCTCAGTACCTTCGATGCGGAAGCCACCTCGACCTTAAAGGCTTCCGAGTCAGCTCTCCTTCTAATATCCTCGCTTTGTTAATAACCTCTGGGTGCTTGGCTAAACGTATTGGTATACATCTTTGTTTCTAAGTATTTCTCACGTCTGAATTGAGAACTGGAAACACGAAAGATTTGAAAATTATCTGTATATGTCTAATCTTCCACCTCGTTCCCCAACTGTGCCTGATCAAATAGATGGTACGATTTTGTTGACAAAAAGCTCTTCTGGCGACAGCCTTAGCAGCTAGCACCAGGAATGAAGAAGCAATCTTACTCTTTCAAAACTTTGCTTGCGTTCAAGACGAGGCAATGAACGTGACACATCTCCCGTAACACCTCCAATCAACTTTTCGGGAGTTTATAGCAGACATGAATGCAGTGGTCAGAAGACACTTTGAATGCCACTGAAAGGGTTCCCCTAGGCCTACAGTACCCTACACTGCTGCTGGATCAGTGGAGATAAGCCCTAAATCTCCGGATGGTCCAACTATAGCTACTCATCTCCAACGAACGAGTGCAGCTGACACTATAAACACAAGCAAACGATGGAAGGTGTTGTGATCCGCCTCCTGGTGGTGTTCTCCTGTATGATTCGAGTAATCTGGGCACCTTCTTCACTTGGGAAGGAGACATCTCAGATTACATTTCGCGCGGAGAAAAGTTGAAAGATGACGGAGGCATGTCTGGATAACTCAGGGTTTTTGAGACGTTCCCCTGGGTGGGTATTCACGGATGAGGGTTGACTTGGGGTGAAGAAAAAGCCACCATAACTTCGCAGTGGCACTTGCAAATGAAATCCGTGGCATGAGTGCTCCTCTTGTAAATTGAGTCATCTTTTCTGTACTTTTCTTTAATATTGTGTCATAGCTAGATAGCTGCATACGCAATTAAAATCTGATGCAAAAAAAAAGTGCATCATAGTGAATCTATTGACAGTAAAAATATAGCGTCGAGAGTGGTGGGAATTAGGGAATATGCTTCTAGGGACTACACTCTTGTGGCTAGTGTTTGAGTGCCGATAGTAGTAATAATCCAGCGGTTTGGTGAGAAGTGCTATGTAGAGATGATGTTGGAAACTCCAGTCAAATAAACTCACAAATATCGAGGGTCTGATGCTAGCTCCTAGGAGTTAGCACTCCGGCAATCAGACACAGAATCTTAAGCACGATCGGATTTGATAAATGTCGATAAAAAGTGATATCCTTTTGGGATGTATTGTTACTGAGATAGGACAAAATAATAGAAGTGATTATAGAAGTCAACATGATTCAGTCAGTTCCCACTTGTGAGTAGCTCCTCATGAGTTTAGAATGTATCAATTACCTAGCACATTAATTACAAAATAAATCATAAAGAAAGTCATTAATACATGCATCATTGCTTAATAGTTTCCCTAAAAAAAAGTCAAATCTTGGTGCCAACATTTTTTATAATTCTTCATATAATATTCACCCAGCCGCAACGTATTAAATAATAAATCAGGTCAATTCAACTTTTTCTGAAGACCTAAAATCCAACACTACAAATCAATAATTTAAAACACGGATATTTTGAAGTTTTCATGGTAAGCCTAAATATAAGTGACCTTGCCAGCCATGGCTCCCGTTTGCCTAACCTTGGTCCATGATCTTTTGATCATGTCCTGTACACCCCTTCTACTGAGCAAGACCAGCAAGCCCATAAATATTGTTAGGAATTTCATGAGGAATAGCGGCCGCATCTTGATACTAACAGAGAGGTTTTCTATAGTCCTGCAAATGTTTCCTAGAACAATTAAGATTCTACCGACATGGGACGGTGGCACTTTTTTGGCGGGTGCCGGCCTTGCAGACGATGGTTGATTTGAAGTTTTCTTCGTCATAGAGGCTTTTGATGCAGCTGAAATTCGAGCTATAGGTTGACCGCTTAACTTGTCTTCAGCGACAGACTCAGTTTCTCGAGTTTTGTTGCAATCATTATCTACTTCTGTTCCGACTCTTGAAGCTTTTACCTGTTGTTCAGATTCTTGACTTCTCTTTTCTTCTACTATTTGTTCGACGCACTCTCGTCGGAGTTCATCACATTTTTCTTTTCTAACTATAGCTGCTTGCTCATCCTGGAGGCTTTGGAGTGCCTGTAGAAATGCATCCCGTCTCTCCTCATCTAAGATAGGTGATATAGTGATGAAGTCTCGAGCGTACTCCCATTCGTTATTTCGTAGGAGAACGTGTAGGGTGTAGAGTTCTAAGACCTTGACAAGCGACACAAGTTCCCGGGGTGTTTTTGTTCCGCCGCCATTCGATTTAAGGCTGTGACTGTAGGAGTGTGTGCGAGCAGGTGAAACACAGATCTGGTCGAAGTCTGGATTTGTCATAGAAGCCAAGTAAGTTTCAAGGCGGGCTTGACTTATTTTTTGAGTACGTGCGTGGGCAAGAAGGAGTGTAGCTCTGCAAAAGTATCAGCATTGATATTTTTGGATCAGTGTACGAACAAATTGATAATCACATCCGTATCAACGGCACCTTCTAAGCCTCCATACCCATGTTTGACAACTTCATCCCACACAAATCCTTCTCGTACTTTGGTAATCAGTGTACGGAATTCCGAAAGCCCAAACACCTGTTTACCTTCATCAGGCGGTAGTTCACAGATGGCATTTAATATAGTCAAGTATAAGGACCAAACTTTGACACGAGTTACTTTGCTAGCTCCGAAAACGAGTGATGGATCCGGGGAATCGGACGGTGAAATGAGTATTGGGAGAAGTGTGGAGAGCGATTCAGGCAAGCGTCGAGTAAGAAAGAGAGCCGAAGCTTGGCGATAAACTTTCGAGATTTGAGATGTAAAACGTTTAGTAGTTGGTATAGCAGAAAGGAGTGGAGAATAGGTATCAAACTGCGAAAGCATCTCGGTGGCACGGATGGGAATGGGGGTGAGGAACCAGACTTTACGTCGGCAAGATAGGCTCCTTGGGTGCTTCGGAGCCTTGGACGCTGAGTCTGGATCTACCTTGATTGGTCTAATGGACTACGGAGCTGCACAACTTGAACTTATGCACAGTTGTGTATTGTTCACCTACGCCCACAACCTTGTAAGGCCTTGAATTTGATTTCATTTAGCCCGATTTTGCGCCTTAAGGCTCATGCAGATGTCTACGAACTCTAATATTTATCTAGGAGGAAACCTTTATAGTAAAAGCCCCTTCAGCTTTTCAATTTATATACACTTTAAAGTTGTGTTACCTTCACGAAGTGGACTAACACTGTTATGTCCAGTGCGGATACCTTCTACTTTATTGCTACTGGCAGGAGATCATCTTTCCCCTTCTCTCCTCTCCCTAATCGTGGCCTTGGTTTCAAGCTTCAGTCGAAACTGCTCTAGTCGCCCTTCCTGCTGGATCCATCCAGTTATCCTTTCAGTATCTTTGGGTTTGTTCATCATGCCCTCAAATGACCGGTGCTCTGCCTTTCTCAGTATTTCTCCTCTACCTTTGGCCCAGCTGGTGCAGGCCATGATCATGTGCTTCACATTCTGGGACGGAGATCCACATTGGCATCGTGGATTGTCTACTACTGGAACATTTATTCTGTGAAGATAGGAATTGAACCCAATGTGTTCGCTTCTTATCTGTATGGCTATGCTGATCTGGGCCCTGCTCAGGTGAACCTTGGAAGGCTTGGGGTTGAGAGAATGGCGTACTAGCCGGTGACATAAGCAGAGCTTCAAATTGGGGTTATTTTTTCGTTCCGATCCAAACTTTGTCAATTGTGCATGATAGATGCTCATGTGGTGTCAATGAGTCTACAAAATTTACCAGAACGCTACACTGCTGAATAAACCTAGTCTGGTTTGTTCATCACAGCTTCTAACAAGGCTTTTCTGCCATCTTAACAAGACCTCAGCTTCTTCTTGAGAGGTGATGGAAAGAACCGAAAGAATTCTGGATGGTAAGGATACTTCTCTTAGGTACAAACTGTCTGCAGCCCCCGGCCGACAGGCCATTTCAACGCTTCAGAAGATAAGCCATGTCTTTAGATGCAGTCCTGATTTCGATATCATGAACTCCTACCCAATGATTATGGAAAATTTTTGCGACTACCTACAACAGCGAGTGGATTTCGTTTTGTTTTTTGCCCGAGGAAGAGAACGGAGGGCAATATTTCATTCATTTTGTATGACCGAATGAATACTTTTTTTGGCGATGTTATCGTGAGATTAAAGCTTTAAAGGAAGCATAGAGGGAAATGTATGTCACAAGCACAGGGATCTCAGGCCTACAGGCAGAGGAGACCTAGATCTCCTACACATTCTTAGGCCCAAAAAGATAATTTTCTTGCAAACCAAAACTAAGTACAACAGTTTGGATTCAAGTCTCTAGTTTTATGAATACGACTCAAGTACGTCGTCATAGGTTTATGTTATAAAACTAAAATATTGCATCTAGAGACCTAAAGATTAACGATCATCTGCCCCTGTTGGTCGTATTCACCAAAGTTTCTCATTTGAAAATTCTACCAGAGCAATGGATCTTTGTCAAAATGAATTCAGACGACAATTACTCGATATACTAGACCAGATTAGTGACGCTACATTTGTCACCATAGATTTGGAAATGAGTGGTATTGCAACTCGTCACAAGAACTCCTCAAATGATAGATCCCTTGATCTGGCCAAGCCGACTTTACAACAGCAGTATGAGGAAGTCAAAAGTGCCGCAGAGACATATCAGATGCTCCAGATGGGGATAACCATAGTGAAAGAGGAGCGTGAAAAAGGTAGCTGTGAGCAAATTATTTTGTGGAAGTTTTGCTGATTATGTCAAGATTTCTACATTGCACGCCCATACAATTTTAATGTTAGTCCACTGAGTAGTTCTGGAGTTGATATTGGTCTTCAACGCATAATCCGATTTTCTAGTAGTGCTTGTGATTTCCTGTTGAAGAACGGGTTTGATTTTGGGAAAGTTTTCAGAGCAGGGATTCCATACCTATCCCGTGATGAAGAAGCAGAATTAACACTTGAGAATAATCAACGTGCAGAAAGAACATCGAAGATACCAGATCTCTTAATTAAAGCGGAAGACACCCCTGCATTGGAATTTTATAACACTACCAGACAAACCATCAAGAACTGGGTGGAAAAGGTACACACTTTTAATACTGCGATACAGTGCAGCTCTACTAATTTTTACAGCCTAAGCAAAATTTCGCAAACATTGGCGGTGAAACGGAAAAGTTAAGCGGATTCCAACGTCGCTTAGTTTACCAGCTTATTCGAAATGAATTTCCCGATCTCAGGGCCTTTTCCCGCTGCGACGGAGATTTTATGCAAGTCGAAAAGATCAACATAGAGAGAGAAGCTGAAGTAAGCCTCCAATAGTCTATTTGGAAAATTTTCCTGGTAGCCAATACCACTACTGCGATTATTAAACTACTAATCATTTAAAAGTATAAAGTGAGCAGACTACAAAAGTTCAATACAAAGGTTGCCAAGCAAAAAGGTAAATGATATTTCGCATATTTTGGCTTATTCTAATTCAGCAAAGGTCTTGGATGGATCTTTGAGGCTCTCTGTGGCGGTGATTTATCTGGTATTGATCCTCTCTGGTCTTACAACTTGGAGGATACCGAGCCGGAAAAACAACCTGATGGCATCGCACTTCGCATCAAAAATTTAAATACCAAACTCCGATCAAAGAATCATGTTATTGTCGGCCACAACATATTTATGGATCTAGCATTTCTGTATAAGACATTTATCGGCTCCCTTCCACTACTCGTAGAAGACTTCCAGGATGCTATCCATAATGTTTTTCCATCTATCATTGATACAAAATATCTGGCTACACATGGACTGGAATCTACGACTACACGTAGCAGCTTAAAAGATTTATTGGATCCACTACGTAAAATACAAAATCCCCTAATATTACTTCATCAAGACCACCGTGCATATGGCTCTAATTTTGGAAGAGATCATGAGGCTGGCTATGACAGTAAGTATTTTCCTCAGCGTTTGATACAGGCTAACAGTCATAAGGCTGGATGACAGCTGAGTTATTTGTCAAATTATCCGCAAGTATATGCAGTAGCAACAAATTGACTAGCCCAATCGCAGCGTCTGAATCCCGATCGCAAGCTAATTCTGACACTTCACGCTTAAATTCAGTTGGCTTTCCATCTTCTGATAATAGCGAAGCTTCAAGTCATGAAGCTACAGAATCTCTACTTGGGCCTAAAAATACCTTGACAGCCCAAGAATTATCGACGGGATCTAAAGCTCAGAACACACTTGTTTACTCTAATCCTTATGCTATACTAGAAGATGTGGAAGATCGAGAACGATTATCGGAGACAGGGCAGGCTTCATGCAACCAGTGGTTACCGGAGTTTTCATCTGATTTTTGGAAAATATATTCTAACAAACTCAGGGTTAATGCAATTGAAAGTGGTATCTGTGACTTACCTAGTCGTTAGAATAATGATACAAAAGCTATGGCTATAAATGAATCAGATGAAAAAGACATAAAATTAGGTTCTCTCGAGACGCCATATGTACTTGCCTCCTTCAAACGTGAAAGTTTTTCCTACATTGCACTTTTAAAATTAAAGTTACAAGCAAGATATCCATTCCATACTTCTGGCTTATGAAAATCGGGCGTCAAAGTCATCTTTTTAATTTGGCAGAAAAGCTTTTTCGATCAGATCCCGCTCGCTTCAAATATATGCCCACAGCCAAATAGTCATGGTGAGCCGTTAATAACAATAGGCTTTCATCTATATCGTTATTGGGCGGAGAAATTGAATTACTGCTCAGTTGGCTACATCTACTATTTTTCGGAAATATTGAGTTGATATCTTAGTTTATCACACTACCCAGGTATTTAGGTCTCTGGGAGTGGTATCCATGGATAAGTGTATAACGGGTAGATTAACTCAGGTATCAAAAAGGAAATCTACAAATAATAGATAACAAATCCCGTCTCATCTGCCTAGTTGTGAGCATGATGCCAACCTGTTGGATGAATAATATAACACGTACGTGAAATCTAAATGCGAAGGCAACCGGCTGTATAAAAATCATGTTCTATACGTTCTTTTTAATTAACCTGACATACAACTAACTATGCGCGAGCGCGTCAAGATTACATGAGACAATGGAACAACTGTTATTGTTATGGCCAGGCATCCCTGAAGAGGTCACAAGGAGAAGGTGCTCGGGAAATGGTGAAAGGAGAGTGATTCCGACAAAACTCTGACAGTTAGATATGGAGGGGCTAGCGTCATGACTACAAGTGCTACAGCCTTAGTTAAGTTCTATCAATGTCTCGAATTAGACTTCAGTGAACTTTTTTTTATTTTTTTTTATCATTTAATGTGTATTCAGCTACAAAGCTATGACACATGACCGGTGCTATGTATACACGTTGGATGACTCTTTTGACGTTAGAGACACTCATACTCTGGATTTCATTTGCAAATACCACTATGAGGTATGCTTGCTTACACAAACAGTCGACCCTCCTCCGTTAGTACCCACCAAAGGGAATCTCAAAACCTTTGGTTATCCAAGCATGCCTTCGTCATCCATGTGCACCAGCGCCGCGCGAAAAGTGGTTGTGTTTTGCCGGATTTGAACCAGCGATCTACTGTCTCGAGTGGGATATGTGTCCAAGCTATCCAGACTTTACTTGGCAGACCAGCCAAGACGATGTACCACTGCACCATCCAACCATGGCGATGTTTATAGTGTCGCCTGCACTCTCGCAACCGAAGTCTTGGCACGCACAAAGCTCAATTTGTAAAAACTCCTTTCCAAATTTCAAAATTCCATGCCCGTCGAGACTGTATCCATCCTTCGCATCATCTTGTGAACTTGTCCTAAATCCTCTCACGTCCATCCCAAAGAGCTATCTCCCAGATTTGTGCTCCACGCTTTGCTTCCTCCGTCGGGTGTAAATATCGGCGTGGGCGTGTATTTGGTGACCAGCTGAGGCCAGAGAAGGTCGAAGAGTGGTGTGGTCATTGGAATGAGGATCTACTAGGTCGTACTTGTAAACTTGATGAGGCTTAGGTGGGATTCGATCTTTTTTGGAATGAAAATTTGACGTGGTGGAGTTATTTGAATCATTGCCTCGTGGGCCAACTTGTTCGGTATTGCGAAATTTGACTGAACTTGGCTCTGGAAGATTATTTCACTCCCAGGTTCGTAGAGAGCACCGCTGACAGGTTTTCAGTCTTGCCCTCCACTTCAGTGAACTGTTGCTGCTACATAGTTGCTCTCCAGCTTCTCAATCTTTTGATCTTTAATCTCGCAGTCTAGCATCTACAGCTTCTTAAGGATATCAAATGTAAAATTGTATAAATAACTGGGGTTAGATCCCTGTGCATATCGATTAGATTGGTTTAGTTTTCATGCGGGCCCATGTCTAGTTCGTCGACTAGTTATGCAAGCCAGGAGCACTATCCAATGACATTCCGTGAAAGTCTTAATTGTGGAGATGGTTTTCAACTCTATGGGAAAAGTACAATGGTTCTCATTTAAAATTCAAAATTAAAAAATCAATTGATATTCTCTAAAAATGCACATCTATTTTAAAAATTATTGCTCTGTATTACAAAAGTCTACATCGAAGCCCTCAGCGAGGCTCGCAGGTAAGTTGAAAGCTTACTACATGTTTTGTATTAGTCTTCTCCATCCTAATACTTTGTGTACCCTCCATCTGCCTTTATCGCTGCTACACATCTTTCGTGCATGCTACCAACTAGTGATAATAGCTCCTAAGAAAGTGTAGAGTCCCATGCGGGCTGCAGCAATGTCTTCAAAGTGGCAGAGCGCACAAGCCTGACCCCATTTTTCTCAGTACTATTTACCTGAATGTGATTTTTCAAGATGTTCCACAATGACTCGATCGGGTTCAGGTCCGCAGAGTAGGGAGGCCATCTAAAAGGCGTTATTCCAACTTCACGCAGCGCCTCAATCGTCGAGTACGCTTTATGACATGGTGCATTGTCGTACATGTATAGAATTCCTGGATTTTCCACGTGAAATTGATTCAAAGGAGGCAAAATCCTTTCACAAAAGGATGAGGACCTCATTGATCCCCAATCCTTCTCCCAGACTAGGAATGGGCCTTTTTGTGATCCATAAAATGATCCCCAAAACATCCAACTGTTCCCATGAGCATGGCGAGCCACAATATAAGTCTCATCAAACTCATCATCAGGCTAAACTCTGCTGTTAGTTGAAGGAAGATTTTGATAGAATTTATACGTACTTTTCTTGTGATACGAGGTCTCAAATGAGAATCACCCGATACCCAGGTTTCATCAGTCCATAATATGCGACTCCATTGTTCATCGCTCCAATCTAAATGTAATTGGGCGAGCTCCAATCTTTTTTGCTTGTTAACCACGCTTAACGGAGGCTTCTTCCGAGCAATGCATCTGCTGTAACCTCTTTTTTTGAGTGCATTAGAAATTAAACGTTCACTGCATCCCCAGTTGCTGAAGGGCCCCGTGGCTAGTTCCAAATAGCACATCTGTCAAATTTGAAGAGATTCCTGGACAAATGCCTCAAGCTCATCAACTTGTTCCGCGCTTAATTTTGGTAAGGTTTCTTTGCAAGACATAGGATTCTCAGTCTCTCGAGCACATGCAAGTTGTACTTGTCTTATTGTGAAGCTAAGTTCGTCGTATATATGTTGTAATGTCAAGCCAAGTCTTCTTCATGTTCTTATTTCAATACAATGATCGTGAGTTAGATGCTTGCGAACTTTAGGTTCTGAAGCAGACTTTTCGAGAGACATTGTTTGCTAGATTAGAGGATGAATTGATACCGATGTTAAGAATCATGTACTTTTTTTTTTGTTCATTAACGTGCGAAGTTAAATAACTACCGTTGCACTCCTTCCGGAGCTTAAGCACGGGTGAGGCCGGGCCAGATCAGGTTTATATATATAAATATTATTCATTTTTCCTGAATTGGCGCCTTGAGGCCCATGCAGGTTTTTATCGGAGGATATATATTTGAAGTAGGATAATTCAATTTGAAATTTAGAACACTCACACTCAGATTTCATTTGTAGATACCACTCGAGGTTAACCCTTACGGCGTATAACCCCTTCCGTGCATACCCACCACAGGGAAAAGCGTGAAAAACCTGTGGCTATCCAAGTGTGCTTTCATCATCCCACAAGTACAACACCACCGCGAGAGAGTGTGGTTTATGGGTCTGACTGGATTCGAATCAGCTTTCTCCTGTCTCGAATGGGGTAGGTGTTCAAGCTACCCAGTATCTACTTGGGAGAACGGCCCGGATGGTGTACCACTGCACCATTCAACCCCCGGGTCAGATTTACTACCGTAAAGTACAATTGTTTCGTCCCACCTAAATGACCGGATCACCTCAGACTTCACCCATGTGTTGAATCATGTCAAGCCCAACCGTCCAGAGAACCCTCTTTTGACGCGTCGAAGCGCAAATTCCTCCTCAGCCATGGCCACTACGCGCCGGAGCCCTTAACATCCTCATTGACTCCGGAATATAAATGCTGTCCAAGATCTCATCGTTGCTTTAGCCTTGCACCTTCATATCATTCCGTTGGGTAGTTGTCATCATTAGGGATTTCTGTGATCCCATCATTGTATCTTCCCTTTTCTTCCTCCTTTGTACACGTACCGTTTCTATCATGACTTTCATCATCAGGGCGTGTCTAGGTAGGTGATGTGCCGAGTATGGAGGTGGGTTGCAGGGGTAGAATCGACTGAGTTTGCTCCGTCGCAAATCCAAAAGGAAGTTGAGGGATGCCGAATGTTTGAATATGACCCTCAGATAGACCTAGGCGCATTCGTGAATCGTATGTTGGTGGTAATGAGTTTTTGTTCAACTTTGTTCCGGCTGTGAAATCTCTAGCGACTGATTTTCTGACCAAAATATCGAGTGCAACTCCTTCAAGACGAATTCCATCAAATAAAATCCATCCCACCCTTTTTCATGACTGAATCTCGGCTTCGGGAGAATATTTCACTCCCAGGTTCGTAGAGGGCACCTGTGTGAACATTGACGTTGGTAGAGTAGCTATGGGGAAATTTACGGATATTAGTCACGTGGTGTTAGTGTGGCATTGGGGTTTACTTCCCATCATTATTCAAGACACCCCACCCATTTATCTTCAAGAAGTCTAGTGTTATCATACTACCAAAATCCGGAAACCGCGACTTATCCCTCCCGAAATCCTACAGACCGATAGCTCTTCTTTCCTACCTGGGAAAGGGACTCGAGCGACTAATAGCTCGAAGGCTCTCGTACATCGCACTCAAACATCGGATCTTAGCCAAGGACCAGTGCAGTACAGTCCCTCGCCGCTCCTCCACAGACCTCACCACAGCTCTAGCATGCGATATACAAACAGCCTGGGATGAAAAGAAAGTAGCAGGAATCATAACGGTAGATGTTCAAGGAGCCTTTGATGGC